CTCGGGGAATCCTGTATCATGTCCCACATTACTGTACAAGCGAGCGGCCCATGTCCGATTCACTTTCTTTCTATTACTTTTTAACAAGTCACATAGAGTCTAGCACCTCCCGAAAAACTACTAAGATGGCAAGGGTTAAACCAATTACATAAAGGTGGTGACCCTACAGACTTAATACTACTATAGGGCCAATATCTACTTACCTTGCTATCCAAAATCTTTGAGGAAACTCGTGCCAGGGAGGACTGTATTATTTATAAAACGGCTCCAAAACATAATCAAACCCATGCCGTTTGGGATTCAGAAAATAAAAAGCAATAATGATGCAATCATAAAAATTGCTAAGATTGCTTTACACAGCTTTGGAAAATAAGGAATATTAAAAAATTAAAACCACTAGCGAATTTTTATTGACTAGAAAAGCTTTTGACACAGTAAACCACGAAATCCTACTCCACAAACTTGACCACTACGTATAAGGGCCATGCGCTTGCTTATTTCAAATCTTACATTAATAATAGGTATCAGTACGTACCATTAAAGACACAGCATCAGCAACACGGCCATTGTTCTGGAGTTCCGCAGGGAAGTTGGTCCTTGGTCCCCTGGCTCTTCCTCATTTACATCAATTGACCCCCCCCCTTTTTTTCCAAAAGTATCCAAAACCTGAAAACCCATTCTCTTGCTGATGACACGACTTATGTCATCTCTCACCCTAATCTTGCCACCCTCTACACCATTGTGAAGGAGGAGCTGATTACAAATATCGACTGGAGCAGCAATAAACTACGCTTAACACTGACAAAACTTACTATATTTTGTTTGGTGCAGGCAGGAGATCACAAATTAACATTAAGATTGACAACACTCTAATTACCAGAAAATAATGGGGGAAAAAATCCTAGGCTTTACCTGACAACAACCTGAATTTCAGCACCTATCCAGCATTATAGCCAATAAAAGTATCAAAACGGTTGGGATCCTCTCCAAGATACGATGCTTCGTGCCGCAAATTGCCCTTCTCACACTATACAATCACTTATTTTATCCATACCTCACCTGTGCTATTAGTGATTGGGATCAACTGCAGCAACACAATGAAGCCAATAATAGCCCAACAAAAAGCTGGCAGTAGAATAATCACTAAATCCCATTCCTGGAGCACAACCCCCCACTCTTCAATGATCTAAACTTACTCCAGTTCAGTACATTCCACACTTACTACTGTGCAATTAATCTACAGGGCCTTAAAACTCTAATATCATCCTTGACCTAAAACGCTTTCTTGATAGTTGTGTACAGAACCCCACAGGCATAACACCAGAAAAACAAACATCTTACGACATTTCCGTGTCCGACTAAACCTTTACAAATTGTCATGTTATGTCAAAGGCCCTAAAATCTGGAAATACCCTACCTGAGAACTCTAGAACTGCAAACACATTCATCACCTTCAAAAACTCCATTAGACAAAATCTTATCTACCTGATTACACCCCTTCAACTAAACTACACGATACCACTGGTGGTTCACCCACTTACACTCTCGATCAATCATTTTGACATTATAACAGAAATATTATTCTCAGTCTTTAAAATATTGAATCTGTGATACTCCAATACTGAAACTATTTACTGTGCCAAAACAAAAGCATTCACATTGCTAAACTCACAAATTAGTATTTAGTCACTTAGCCATAATACCAACTTACCTCATAATTTGTAATACTTTACAATTAAGAATAAAACTAAGTATGCCCGAAATGCCTAGCCATGCTAAGCGTTCTAGTGGTACACTCTGTAATCAACAATTTTTACTACATGTAAACCAAACAATAACCAAATTTCTGTAAACTCAGCATTGTAATCCTTATAGAGAATAAACTTTGAATTTGAATTTGAATTTGAACAGGCCCAGTGGATACCCCTGCTGCATTATCTTGAAATAGGCCTAGTGGATACCCGTGTCGTATTATCTTAAAATAGGCCTACTGGATACCCGTGTTGTATTCAGTTGCCAGGAGTCGCCAGGATCCTTTCACGCCAAGCAGTTTAGAAATTTTTACCTACAGATGTAGTATACACAGAGTTTGCAAAAGCTTTCAACAAGTGTGACCACAAAATGTGTGATAAAGGAATATCCGGGAAAGTTGATAGATGGATCTACAACTTCCTAACAAACAGAACACAAAGAGTAATAGTAAACAGAGTGGAGTCTGAGGTGGCCACAGTGAAAAGCTCTGTTCCACAAGGCACAGTACTTGCTCCCATTCTATTCCTCATCTTCATTTCTGACAGAGGAGATGGTAAGTCACAGCTCTGTGTCTCATTTGCGGATAACACCCAGAGTACATGACAGTGACCCCCATTGAAGACACTGTGAGACTCCAGTGAACATCAACCAAATTTTCAAGGGGCCACTAAACCTAACTTGAAGTTCAATTAAGAGAAATTTAAAATACTCAGTATGGAAAACTTGAGGAATTAAAACTGTACAGGTTATACAACAAATTCTAACCATACAATTAGCGAAAAAGTAACGTGAAGAATTGGGAGTGTTTAATGTCAGAGGATCTGCCTTCAAAGACCACAACAATGTATCTACCTCATCCACTAGGAAAATGATAGGATGGATAATGAGAACCTCAAAACTAGGGACAAAAAACCCCTATAATGATTACCCTTCCCAAATTGATTCTTCTGTCTAGGCTGGAATACTGCTGTACACTACGGTCCCTTCAAGGCTGGCGACATTGCAGGGCCTGGAGAGTGTTACAAAGAACTTTCACGTAACTATCACTAACAGTATAAGTAATAATGCACTATCTGCTTGTTACGGGTCACAAGAGTGCCTTTAGCTGTCTACAGATAGTCAGAACAGTACTGTACTATCAGGAGGTGTCAAAGATAGGAAAGGGCATCGCCTGGGATACTGAGGGGCGACTTTGAGAAGATGTAGAAACCAAGGTAATTAGGTACCATGGTAATTAGGTACCGTGGTAATTAGGTACCGTGGTAATTAGGTACCATGGTAATTAGGTGCCATAGTAATTAGGTAATGATAGTTTCCATGGTAGTTAGGTACCACGGTAATTTGGTACCATTTTGTTAAGTACCATGGAAGTTAGGTACCATGGTAATCAGGTACCATAATAGGTAGGTACGCTAACGATGCTAGCTACGTTTCTTATGTTAATTAGAGACCCCTGAAGAAACTTTTTTGAGTTCTTTATATTAATTAGTTACTCTGACGATGCCTAACTACCTTTCCTATGTTAATTAGGTAATCTGCGTATATACACGATACATATACACTGTGTTTATACAGATGTATTACACTGTATATACCGATGTATACACTGTATATAAGCAAGAAACAGTGGGGAAAATGTGAGTGACCAGGGCTTGTGGTAAGTCTGCCGGTGTTCCACCACTTACGTTGGTCGGAAGGGCATGCTTATATGGGCATGTCACACACTCTATAAGATGCCACACTTTCCCGTGCTAATTACGTTACCCTTTACGACCCTAACTTTCACATGCTAATTTGTCGCTGACGACCCCAGTTAACTTTCCCATGCTAATTAAGTACCATGACGGACCCCCACTAACTTTCCATGCTAATTAAGTACCCTGACGACCTCAACTAACTTTTCCCATGTAATTATGTACGATGACGAAAAACCC